TAGTTGAACAACGAATCAATTCGCAGATATCGGTTTGGTGACTGAGCAGCGGTCTGTGCGGATGGCCACGCACTATAAGGGAACCTTGGTCTGTGGCGGGACTTCCTGTTGGATTTGGATCTGTTTCGAGCAGAGTTTCGCACTCAAGAAACAAAATTGAACCCCAAATCCCGCAGGTTATCAGTTCTTGGACATTTGCATGGACAACTAGCGGATTGCTCGGGGTACACACCACAAGTCGGAGTGAACTCTCATTTAGATGGACAACATGAACGCACACCATCAGCGCGGTGATACAATACGGATGCTGGCTTGTCATTTGCATGGACAAATCAATAACATAGATTCCTAACATTCACTCTTGTCATCGCAAACATCGATCCCCTCCTTGACATGAGCATGTATAGGACTGTAAGACATTGGCATGAACATCGGAGATCGAAACACTTGCAAGGTCATCGGCGTGTCATTTCTTTGCATGGATAAGATACATAAAATTCATTCGGAACGTTTACTCTTGTCACCGCAACGTGGAGATGGAAACACTCGCAACTTGCATAGTCTTTTCCTAACACTGCACCTTCGTAAATGAAAACAGCGCACACAGAGTTGTGAAAAATGTTCAAACCACTGAACCGCACATTGCAACGTAGATAGGGGTTGTTTCCGGAAAAACGTTCGAAGCAAAAAACAAGTAGTAGATAGAGGTGTGAGAGGTGTTGCAATAAGTGCGAGAGGCAACGTGTATGAAGTAGTAGATAGAGGTGCGAGAGGCAATAGTTGCAATAGGTGCAAGAGGCAATGTGTGATTGCCTGCATTTCAAGGTGCACACGCACATCATGTTCCACAAGATTGTATTTTAACATGTTTTCCCTTAAACAGAAGGTCATAGAAGTACACGACACGACATCGCAAGACGACGTAACATCGCGACATAACACACGATAGTTGTAAGACCAGAAAAGTTCATTAGAATTACAATCGCCCTTAAACACAAGGTCTGACTACACGTCCGTATCTTGTGGCATACGGGGTTTCTCGCGGACGAGGTCGTGAACCGAAACCATACATGGCATTCATAGATGGTCCATATACGTGGCTCTGCGGTTCGTGGACAGTTGCATTCTCCGAAACACGGACATGTATTTCATCCTGACAAACCCTCCTGATCGTGCTAAGAAATTCCCTATACAGTCTCGTATGTCCGACACTTTCTCTTCCACCTCATGCCACAATGATAAACATCTGACCCGACTTGCTCTCACGAAATCTGACCGCCCATCTCCATCGGGGGGAGACATCACGGACTTGAACTTGGATCCCTGAAGTACCATCTCGTTTCGTGTCACGAGCACAACTGCATCCACGAGTTTTCTACTTTTGTTTGAAGAAGCCACACATAGCACTCTCGCGAAAGGACACCCGTCATCAGTCAACCGCACACAACATGTTTTCCCTTAAACACAAGGTCTGACAACCCGTCCAGACCTTGTGACATATAAGGTTTCTCGCAGACGAGGTCGTGAACCGAAGCCATACATGGCATTTATAGATGATCCATATACGTGGCTCTACGGTTCGTGGACCGTTGCAGTCTCCGAAAACACGGACATGTATTTCATCCTGATAAACCCTCCTCGTCGTGCTAAAGAATTCCCTATACAGTCACGTATTTCAGACACTTTCTCTTCTACGTCACGCCACAATGACAAAAAAACTCTTACCTGACCTGCTCTCACAAAGTCTGACCGCCCATCTACATCTGGGCGAGACATGACCGCCTTGAACTTGGATCCCTGAAGCACCATATCGCTGCGTGACACAAGCACAACCGCATCCACAAGTTTCCTACTTCTGCGTGAAGAAGCCACACATAGCACTCTCGCGAAAGGACATCCGTCATCCGTCAACCGCACACAACAGTACGATAGAGCTTGTGGAGAAGTCCCTGGGCAACGGGGTGGGTAGTGTTCCAAGAATGAACAATGACGAGCGCAGTACACCAACTCTTGCTTCTGCGAACTTCTCCAAGTTCGTGGCGAAGATGTGATGTACTCGCAGCCGAGGTGACGTCTGAAGCTGGTACGGTAGCGGATCGTTTTACCCTTATCGTCCAGGGTCTTTCGCTGGAGGACACCATCAGGCAGTGCAACGAGGCTCCCGAACTCTAACATGTTGGCAAACTTGTAATGGCTTGCCCAAGGGCACACACGCTCCATCGCCTTCCAATCATTATCGTTCCATTCGTCGAGATGCCGGTTCATGTACGGTTTGACGGGCATCAATGGGTCCTCGTCGAAGTCCTCCTTGGCTGCTTCGTCGATCCACGTTTGACCGTCATGATGCCGCACCGATGTCGCATAAGGTGAAAACGATTTTGCCAAGCGCATGTGCTTCTCGGGACTCAAGCGCATGTGCGTCTCGGGACTCATGCTGACGCTTGTCGAAGGTCTCGACGACATTACACTCCCTACACATCACGGACACACAAACGACACAAACGGACGTGTAGACCGTCGTAAATAAAGTTGTCCAATGATAAGTCCCCTGGTGCGGCCAACACTCAACCGTCACGCCCGCACTATATATCGACAAGCTCGTCATTAATCAAAGTGCGAGTGAACTCTCACTTAAGTCTGACCACACGTCCAGATCTAGTGACATTCGGGGTTCCCCGAGGACGAGGTCGTGTACCGAAGCCATACAAAGCATTCATTGATGATCCGTACACGCGGATCTGCGGTTCGTCGACTGATGCACTCTCCGAAAAGACGGACATGTATTTCATCCTGACAAACACTCCCGGTCGTGCTAAGGAATTCCCTATACAGTCCCGTATATCGGACACTTTCTCCTCGACCTCATGATGCAACGAAAAGTTTTGGACCGGCCCTACTATAACCAAATATCGCCACCCATGTACACGTTCAGGCCCGTGCATCGGCACGAATTTGGACCCCTCAATTACCACCTCGTTGTGTGATACAAGCACAACTGCACTGACGAGTTTCCTGCTCTTGTTCGACGCAGCGACACATAGAACTCTGGTGAAATCAGACCCGGACACTTTCAATCGCACACAACAGTATGACACAACTTGTGGAGAATTCCCGGGGCACCGGAGCGGGTACTGGTCCAGGAACGAGCAGTGACGAGCGCAGTCCACCAACTCTTGTTTCCGCGAGCCTCCCCAAGTTCGTGGCGATGACCTGACGTTGTGGCACTCGAGGCGGCTGAAATGGCGGTTAATGCAGCCCAGTGCTCTGCGCATATGGTTCAGGAACTTGTGTCCGAGGACAGCGTCAGACAGCGGGATGAGGTTCCCGAACTCCAACATGTTGGCGAATTTGTACTGGCTTGCCCAAGGGCAGCGACTCTCCATCGTGGCCCAATTCCCATCGCACCAATCGTCAATATGCCCGTCCATGCATAGGACGACGGTCATCTAGGGGTCCTCATCGAAGTCCTCTGCGGTCGCTCCGTGGATCGTAGTCATACCGTTGAAATGCCGCACTGATCTCGCGCAAGGAGGAAACGGTTTTGCCAAGCCAATGTGCGTTTCGGGACTCATGGTTTGTGATGTCGAGAAGATCGACTCAAAGATTCGTGGTGTCGAGAAGGTCGCCTCCATTACGCACCCTACACACCACGAGCACATACCAAACGATACATACGGGCACGACAACGTGTATGAACATAGTTGGCGAACGGGTACTGCCGTGGCCACGCCCACACTCAGTCGTCAAGACATTCACTCAAGCGGATTGCTCGGGGTTCAGAGCACAAGTGCGAGTGAACTCGCGGTTAGATGGAGAGACAGGTGGTCACACCGCTGAAGTGGAATGCTCGTGGTGCACACAGCAAGTGCGAGTGAACTCGCACTTAGATGGAGAGATAGGTGCGCACACCATGAGCTAATGTGTGTAATGTATAAGGAAATCGACGTGTAACATCCGTTTAGAACTTTCACTTCTACCGATGACGACAGGCCGGTGTGTACATGTGTTCATTCAAAGTTCGAAAAGGCGATCCGAACGTAAGACACTGCAGCGCATCGACTGGAGTATCTTCCACGAACATAGAAATATATTTCATGCGAACGAACCCGGTCCTTCCGCCCAGAGACCTCCCTATAGCATCCCGTACATAGGACGCTTGAGCTTCAACCTCACGCCAAGCGTCCACATCGTTCACCTTACCCCCGATTACCAAATCCCATGTCCCTTCGTATTCTATTGTGACCAAACCTAATGTCTCTCCCGAGGTGCAACTCATTCCTGGACACGTAGACCACAGCATCAGTCAAGGTCCTACTCCGATTCGAACGCGCGACGCAAAGGACCCTAGATAAGAATAACTTTCCGAGACGCAATCTAACGCAGCAGTAGGAAACTGCTCGAGGCGACAGCCCTGGAGAGCGCAACGGGTACCGATCGAGGAACTCGGAATGTCGTGCACAGGCAAGCAACTCGTGTTTCAACGAGCGGGACCATTTGCGCGGCAAAGCAGTCACGGCACTGCAGACCAACACATTTTGATAGCGAGGAATATTCAGCTTTGCACTCAAGCAACGACACCGAACTGAACCCTGCACAACTCTAGGCACGGGAATGAAACTCCCAAACTCGCACATGTTAGCGAACTTGTAGTCGTCCGCCCACGGACACTCCCTGAGCATTATGTCCCATTCAAGCTCCTTCCACGAGTCCAGGGGAGCATCAGTGAACCGGGGGACCTTCATCTAAGGATCACACTCCATCTCGTCTTTTGTTGCACCGTCAATAACAGTGGAGTTTCCACTGCCGGAGACGCGCAGCGCGCATGGGGGGAAAGGGCATGCCATGCGCTCACGCCAATCACCCAGGATAATCAACTCCGACATGGCCATCGCGACCGGCAAATGCCTTGCAGGCCACAACAAAAAAAAATTAAGCAAATGCTTTCACCCAGCTCACAGGGAAAGAAAATAACCATGCCCCCCAAGGACATCCGTCGAAACTCCGATGACGGGCGTCTTGTTGAACACGACCACCACAGTACGGCCGCACTGCACCCAGCCGAGCAAGAGGCACATCAACGGGCATGGCAGGAGAGAGAGAGACAGAGACAGAGAGAGAGAGAGAGAGAGAGAGAGAGAGACTCTAGTTGAACAACATTCGACAGAGAACCGTAAGGAAGTGTCAAACAGCACTACATGTATGCCAGGCCGAGCACCCACGGACACGTATACAAGCAATGGAAGTGACCACGAGCCTTCTGCATCGGTTGAAATGACCACCTTCAAGAAGTGCCAAACAGTCGGCGGTCTCAGGTCTCTAGTGCTAAAAGCATTCTTAGGCGACCTTGCGGCAGAACTGCTTGGCTTAGCACTAGATGCTCACCAAATAGTTTTGGATGTCAATCGTATGGACACATCATATGATGCTTACCAGCAAGCAGCAGATGATTGCAGGACCTTCTATCCGGTGTGGATCTTTGAGAGCAGATTTGACGCAATCCACCGTTAGATCCACATCGGAGAGGCGGACCGGTCATCCTGCCGCTGTTTAGTGTAGTCATCATGCGGAAGTCGACATCGCAAGAACCCGACGATGTTCCAATTGGGACATGCTCTTGTTTCGTGATGTGCAGGTGCTTATCGGCGGTTCGTTTGCGGAAGTCGGGAGAGAAGGAGAGAGGGAAACATTTGCAGGTTGCCTGTTGTTTTCGTAAAGGTCAAGTTGAAGCAAAGTGCGATGCGTTCATTCAAAGTGCGAATGAACTCGCACTTAGATGGAGGGTGCAGTTGAAGAAAAGGAGAGAGGGAAATAGTTGCAGGGTGCTTGCCGTTCACATTAGAAGTGAGAATGAACTCGCACTTAGATGGAGAAGCAGGTGCGCACACCATCAGCGCGATGACTCTTCGCCATAAGCCGAAAAGTCCTGCATCACTCATGAATCAAACCCTACCACTAATACGAACATGTCGAAGACCTATACGAAAGTTGATTCAAGCCGAAGACCTACACGAACGCTGATTCGTGCCGAACAAAATTGCAAAGTACACCGGAAGCTTTCCAAAATTCACGAAGTACATGGAGCCTTTCCAAAAATCATTGAAGTACACGTTCTAGGGCACATGTAGGCATTCCAAAAATCATTCCAGCCCACGTCGTATACTCTACATGACATGCCCTTTTTTACAGAGGACGCTTCCGTACAGTCTATATCACTCCCCCTCTTCGCCACAAGCCGAAAAGTCCTGCATTACACATGAAACAAACCCTACCTCTAATACGAACATGTCGAAGACCTACACGAACGCTGATTCGAGCCGAAAACCTACACGAACGCTGATTCGTGCCGAAGTCCTGCATTAGACAAAAGGTCATCCGAACCCGACACGATGTTCACCTGCCTACACAAGTTCCAGACAGAAGCTCATCCAAATACGTGATAGGGTCAGACCCACTGCAAAAGGAGTGAGGTGATAAATGGGAGTCTATTCGCATATAGAATTCGAATACCCTGAAATGATGAGTATCTTCGTAGCATGCGTCGGGTGAAAAGAGTTAGTACGATCTTCATGGTAGCAGCATGTACAGTCTTCGAGTAGCCTCCCGCGATCGTCGGATTTGCGCTTGTCTATGTTGAACTCGATTAAAAGATCTGCTTCGATATTCGGCAAGTCGCGCGTGAGTAAATCTCTTAAAACTCTATTCAAATTGCTCCAGTGACGGATTTGGAACGGACAACGGTCTCCCTAGAACGGGGGACTGTCATCATTTTCTCTCACGCCGGATACAAGGAATAATTCTCCATCCAAGCACGAGGCGATATGCATGATGAAGATCGATAAGAAAAACGTAATGGCAGGCTCACAACCTTCTGGCATTCTATCGAAAGATGTGCTGGTTACGTACGAATAATACAAACAACTTCTCGACTCCTCTTCGGACGCAATGTAGAAATAAATTCCGAAGACGGGCCTGTCGCGTAGCGTGGCCATCATAATGTACTGAAAAGCTGGGGTAGGCGGGGGCGAAACAGACGGCTGGACACGAGCGCGAACGTCTTCAGGGACCGGAAGGTAGCGGTATCTGGGAAGCCCAATGTTGTCAAACCACTCTAAACCATAAATGTTCTCAACTGCGATAACAACTGCACTTCGCAGACTTTCGCAATAGCCCAGGTCTCTGACAACGGCCGTCCCACTGAAACTTCTAGACGACATCTTGCATCAGAAAAGAGAACAGCGTCATTGTCATATACGGAGAGGTGGGTAAACGACGAAGTTGAGACCGTTTGATGTTGGCAAAGTGCGAATGAACTCGTAATTATCTAGACAGTTTGTCATGCAACGGGGTATACCGAAGGGGACGGGCTGTAAGCATAGTGCGAGTCTATTCGCACTAGAGAAAAGACGAAACAACTAATTCATAACACCGCTAGTGATGATGTAGATGTCCAGCATCGCAGTAAGGGCAGTCGCACACATATCTCGTCTTCCCGTTGCGCAGAGTCACTTCCTGAGGTCCGGAGGCTGAATAATCCAGATGGCGGTAAGCAAATCGCAATTCGTTGTCCCTATGTTCGACTGTGAAATTTATTTCGTCGCAGCTATCGAAGAGGTAATGAAGTTGTTGGTGCACCAAACAGTCGACCCGCAAATGCAGTTCATCTTTGAGTGCTTGATCTATGGCGAGCCTGTTTTTGAACCGTGCAAGGGAACCAGTAGGGCCGGATGTGTGAAACGCTTGAAAAGAAGTGAGTTTGACACCGTGAAATTCCTCCCTTGCGAGAAAAAGAGCTCTCATTCGTCGACCGTCCACCTTCACGGCAGTGAAGAGCGTTACGACGGTGGTGCCTCGATTACATACCCTCACTCGACCGAAGTAGTCTATGATCACCGGCGTCGACTTCGTCGGTTGGCCGAGGCAAAACCAGGCACACAGTTTTTTATGCAACTTGTCCAACGACGCCCACTTAAGTTTCACACATAAAATGTGCCATGCTTCAACCATCTTAGAAGTTTGGACGGGTTCCTCTTCAAGGGGTTCCCTCTTCAGAAGTGACTCCAACCTGATAGGGTATGCCTGTACATCCTTCATCAGAGT